ATTTAATTGAAATTGTGAAACAGCTTTTTTTGAAATCAGCTTTCATTAATATTTAGTGGGACTGTGCTAATTTACATGAACTGGCAATGTGTCCTCTGTAGTCAGTCCCTCTGGTTCCTTCAGCGCTTAATGCTCCTGAATTCTCTCACACTGAAGGAATATGAAGTGGATTCATAGCTGCAAAGCCTAGAGAAGGTAATAAGATCATTAGCTTCATTATTTCATTCGTTGCATCTGACTTGCTTTTACTGGAAGCCCCAAGCTGCTGTTCCTTTTCAGTACTGAAAAATGCTTTGGTTTATCTTTTAGCAGACTTTGACATATGAGGGTCAATATTTCTGCAAGTTGATCGATTTGAAGTTGTTTGCTCAGACTGTGCATCTATTCTGCTACTTGCTTGACTTAATTTAGGCTTCTTATTTGTATAGGGTTTCTTACCTGGCATATTCTTCAAATTACGCTCCATGGTAGTTCTTAAAACAGCTGCATCAGAGAGTTCAGTTCTGTGACATTCTATTGAAAACTGTTGCAGGCTTTGGAAAATCTTTGTACTGACTATTTGTACCATACATCATCTGCCATTTGCAGGACACCTTGAATTTTTACTCAGTTCTCATAAGAATAGAAGCAATTTCATAATTTTAAAAAAAAAAAAAAAGTTTGAGTCTTATTTTTGTAATGTACCTGTATGGCCTTGTTGACTGTCTCAGAGATATGATGCTTGTATGTGTCTAGATGTGTCCTGACAGCAGGGAGTGGAGGAGGATTGTTGATGTTGCTGGGTTCATTTGGAGGTTTTATCTGTGTAGTTGAGCTTGTTGCCAAGGGAGCCTTTTCCTTGTGCATGTGCCTTGAAGCTGGTGAATCCCAAAAGCGTGGATGTACTGCCCCTGGGAAGGCTGCAGCACACGTCCTCTAGATCTTGTGCCTCCCCAGAATGCTGAATTTATTATGTATTTCATGCACAGCATGTAAGTGCACATTTCCATATGGTAAATTCATGCTCCCCACTGCATCTGAAGGTAAAAACATCTGGAAGCAGATGGGTACCACTGGAGCAGCTCATGCTCATCTATTGCAGCCTTCTTTCCTAGGTGTTTTGTGGAAGTAGGCAGGGAGATTCGTAAGGATGAATGTTGGGGGGTGGAACCTGCTTGTAGCTGCCTACTTTCTGAACGGGCCACCTGGTCTTTCCCTCCTGTCACCACATGTGCCTTCAAGATTTAATCATCCGTGCTTGGGACAGGTGACAGGGAGGGGCAAGAACAGGAGATCTCTGGGCAAATTGATCAAATGTGGGTCATTTCCTTGAGTTTGCTCTTGGATTATGTTAAAAAAAGGGTTTGCTGTAACCTGGGGCCCGTTGGTTAGAAATACTTGTTTTTAATGGGAGTCCTTCTCTCTATGCATATTTATGCAAAATAATTCAATTTCTGGCAAGGCTTGCATGTTGCACCATTTGCTACGCTGCTGCCCTGCTTTGATTCCTTTTTTGCTTGTATTCAATCTTTTTTCCTGGTATTTGGATTACTGCTGTTTTGTCTTGTTTCAGTGTATACTTGTCTCTCTTTTGGGTCTGAGGTGTGTCATTTTCATTTATTCATCTAGTGTTTTCTAGTTCTTATAGCTCTTTTCTGTTACATCAAAAGTCAAACATTTGATTAAGTTCCAACTGTTGCAGCATATGTAGACTGGCTTCATTATCTCCTGTTGCCTTAAACTGTAATCTCTAACAAAATTAGGCAGCCAGCATGCCAAGTGTGTAAGAAGGGCTGAATGTGTGGGTCTGTGGGTGTTATTTTGGGGCACTGATTTTTAGGGCTTAGTGAATGCAGTTTCTGTGGCTCTGTGCTGATGCTGGCAGGTCAGGTGCCTGTATGTGACTTGTCACCTGCAGCCCCTCAGTCAGTGGGGCTCTCCTGTGGTAAACATAAGCATTGTGCAGCAGGAGCCCTCTCTGCTCTCCATAGATGCCGTTTCAGAGCAAGGAGTTACACTGACAGCTCCCTGAACACTGACTGTGCGTGTGTGTCACACACAGTGGTGAGTGCCAAGGCACTGAGGAGCTTGTGCATGATCAAATGGTCCCACAAATTCAAATTTTACTTACAGCTTTGTCAGTTCTCTGAGAGGTCAAGACAGTCTTTGTTTGGTATCCCTCTGGAGAACCTTCACTCTGATTTTTCTGCTTTTCTTATCTACTGCTGCCACTAAAGACTCTGTATTGCCTCCAGTCTGGTCTCCAAGTCTAGAGATGAGCCACTTCTTACTTTTCTGTAAATTGCATGATGGTTCTGGGTTGAAAGTGCAAGTGCCAAACTGGTAGGACAGAATGGGCCCCCAGTGCCCAAGGACACAGCATGTCCCCCACAATTCTTTTTGTACAAGAGACATAAAATAGAAGTGAGAGGAGCTGCATTGATGCTGCAGTTTGAGATAGTGCTGCAAAAATAAATAAATAATTGTATAAAAGAAGCAGAAGCAAAATTTAAAGGTATTCCTTTACATTTCTTGCCTTGTGTCCCCCTTTTTTAAATCCAGATGGGTTCACATGCAGTATTTATAGCACAGTCCATGAGAAGCTGCAGTGGTATGGCTGAAGGGGCAGTGTGTTGTAGCAAAAAACAGGAGTAAGACTGAACGTGGGAGGGAATTTCTTGGGCCAGCCTTACTTCCATGGGGAGTGTTTTCTGTGAAACTCGGCTGTGGATAATGAACAGATGCTGGGAAACTAGTTATTAACACTCAGGAAAAGCAGCTGAGGTTTCCCAGGCTCAAAGAATATAGTAGACTTCAGAAACTGTCAAGAGATGTGTGACAGGAGTGGGCAAGAATAAAGATACAGAATTATTTCTGGGCAAGCCACGTGGCACAGAGTAGGATTATTCTGCCTGGAAAGAGGTGACCAGATGGAAGCATGGAAGATGCAAACAGGGGCTTGGGGTTTGTTTTTTTCTTCTTTCATAAGAATTGGGTCACACCAAATGGATCTAACAATTGGCAAGTTTAAAACACAATTATTCTTTTATTTTGCAGTGAATAATTAACACTTGCACACTGCTGCAAGATGATGTAGATATAAAGCTGGTTTAGACAGACACATCCATGGGAGAAGAAATTTGCTGTTTTAAGGGTCTGGGACAGTAACTCAGAAATATCAGTGTATTCTTGCACTTATGCTTCTTAAGCTTATCCCTACATGTAGGGAAAACTGTAGGCCAGTGAACCTATCATCTGACCAAGAATAGCTACTGTTTTCTTTAGTGTAAAAAATAACTTTGGCAATTGCATGTTGTTCAGATATCTACAGTAACAGAGCTGTTCAAACAAATCTTGTAAATTGGTAGTACACCAACAGCCTGGTCATTAAGCTCTGTCAATATTTGGTGTAGTAAATACTTTTTACATTTGGCTACATTTGGTTTATGTGCCCTGGAGAATTTTGCTGATTGATTGAAATGATTGATACTTCCCGGAACAGGTCTGAATTCATGATGAAATAACAGTGAGATAACATTCTAAATAAGTGATTTTGTGCTGCTGCTTCATGCTTCCTCAACTTGTGTGAAGCTTATTTAGAGGCCAAGATTTGCTAATTTCTTCTAAGTAGCAGATGGACCTTTTTTAAGATTGCTTCTCCTACAGGGAGTGTGTGTGCGCGCGCGTGTGTGTGTGTGTGTGTTTTGGGAGACAAAACCTGTGAAAACTGAGCTTCCTGGCAAATTGGATGTTTAGAGATTTACCCTGGTTGTTGGATAACATGATAGTATTGCTAGTCTGCTCCTGGCTCAAGGGTGAGTGTAGTGATGTGTGTTAAACATGGAGAGCTTTGGCTCAGTACAGAGTTCTGTGTGTCTGGTACATACACCATTGGTTTGCATCCTTTTCCTAATTCACCTGCCAAGGGCCCACTGGTAGTCTTGGGAGTTTGCACTTGGATAAGTGGAAACTGCAGAGGAATTTTTCAAGATCACTCCTTACAGCTACTAATCAAGAAAAAAGCTGATTTTTCTAAGAGATCAAATTATTTTGATTTTTTTTAATTAAATCCTTTTCAGCACGGTAGAGGCCACTTGTGTGGGCGTAGTGGGATGTTTGTATGTGTGTGTGTTTTTTTTAAATTTAATTTTATAGAAACTCATTCTCAACCTGAACTGTCCAGAATAAACTAATCTATTAGTTGCTCTGATAATATAATCAAGTTTTTCCTAATTAATGCTGTTGCATGTGCGGAACAGAATAGTTTGTCTTTTCCCCTCATAAAATAAGTCAAGTGCAATGTTTGATTACATTAAGTACACACAATTCCTTACCTACAGTGTTTATGTAGCTGAGGAGCTTGGAATATCAGAGATTATATATATATATATATAAAAATATCTCCTGGCCAACTGTAGTTCTGAGGGCAATTAAAAACTGACTGAGTTTCCTATCCTGTGATCCAAGTAGCTTTACAAACACCCTAAGTCAAATTTCTCTGTATTATTATTTTATTTACTGTGTATTCCTCATTATATTTTTATTCTCCTGAGCTATTTACAGTGTTCCTGGGTGACTGATGTACTACTTTGGCCTTTATAAATACTGAGATATTCTCTATGCAATAGAAAATCAGTATTTATCCCAAAGTATTTCTACTCATCCATTTTCTGGGAATATATGTTGGTCATTCTGGAGTAACAGTGTTTGTTTTATTCAACACAATTTTAAAACTGAAAAAATACTCTAAGTAGTTTGGAGGATTTAAAGTAATTTCTATCTGAACTTGTGTTTATACAATATAATACCAGAAAATGGTGCATATAGTTCTGCTCTCTCTAACTATATTTGTTCTGTCTCCACCTTGAAAGAAGGTGCATAGATTTCTGATTTTGTACACATGTATAATTATACCAAATAAATGCTAAATTATAAAATTATGTTCTGAAAAGAATAAGTCATTTGCCTTTAATAAAACACTTTTTAAGAGTCTCTGATAAGTATTCTTTTTTTCTTGACAGTCTGTGGTGGACGACTGGATTGAATCATATAAACAAGACAGGGACATAGCACTTCTGGATTTAATCAACTTCTTTATCCAGTGTTCAGGATGTCGAGGTACAGAACATGGGAAACAAGTTGTATAGAATAAATCTGACCTACAAACATGTGTTAATGCAAATGCTGGTAAAGATGGGGGAGACTCTTGGATTGATACTCCTTGTGTGCATGGTTTGTATAGAAATATTGTCTGCATTCCAGAGTAACATGATTTAAAGCTTGTTTGTGAAGGGCTACCTTTTCTCTTTCTCACTTTCCTGTCATCATGCTAAAGTATACAAATCCTCACAGAGACGCTCTACTCGTCAGCAACAGGAGACAAAAGATCTGGTACTCCAGGTAGGCGTATCTTTATTTCCCCTTTCTGTTTCTTCCCAATTTTTTAACTGCAAAACTTAGTTGGTAACTATACCTTAACTTGATATTTTTTCTTTCTTTTTAGGAAAATGATTTTTTTTTTTTTTAACTGAAGAGGAAGGAATCAGCCTTCAGTTCACTTTGCTTAGCAAGAAAGATTTTCTGTGGATGAGGCACCAGAGTTATTTATTCCTCTGTAATACTTTATCATGTCAGCAGCGAGTGCCCTTCGTTTTATACCCTGCTTAAGCAGTCTCCATTACCAGGCATGCAGCAGTCAGCCATTCTAGCATTCTGTTGCCACACTGTGCCTTCTAATGAATTTTTCATGTGTTGTCTTTTTTCAGTTAACTCAGCCTTGAAAAGAGACAGAGCTCCACTCTGTCTGTAGTGCCCAGAACCAAACTATCTACTATTTTCTGATGCTTCCTAAAATTTACTTGGAATAGAGTTGAAAACAATCCACAATTCAGAAATTCTTTTTCTTCATTTTGTATCTGATGTGGGAATACACCTTTAGGCATTAAATGGTCTGGGCAGAAGTCCCTTTTCTTCCTTAAGTGTAAGGTGAAGTCTTGAGTAGTTAAGAGTATCAGAGAAAAGAAATAGGAACCATTAGCAGCTTCAGCAGCCCTTTTTCATAGCTGAAGGAAATGAACGTATTTTGTGGATGACAGGAAAGACTGAATCTCTGGGAGCATTCTGTGAAAGGGCTGAAGGTTAGGGCTTAGGTTACTGGCCTGTGTCAATGTCTGCACTGTTCACAGAGAACCCCTGAAACATTTTTCAGTTGTGTTTGGCAGCTTATATGAAAGTAGTTGTATTCTGTGTGCTTTTTCTTTTTTCTTTTTTTTTTTTTTTAACTCCTGAAAGTGTATGGGAGAAAAAAACAACTCTACAAGCTTGTAAGAATTTGGGCAGCATTAAACCAAAGGCATCCTTGGCCATATGTTTATATTCTTGTTGATGCAAACTTTTGGTGAAGGCATGTCATAAATATCTTCATTCCCCTGCTGCTCTCTAATTTATTCTCCCTTTCATTCTCTTCATTAGAGAAAGCACAACTGTGATAAGATTCCTGTTTTTTTACCCCTTGTTGGTGAGTGATGCAGGCTGAATGCCCACTGTCAGCCATATGCTGCTGGAGCAAGTGCCTCCCAGAAAAGCTTTCTGTTACTGGCTGGGAGGCAGCAGCACTGCGAGTGCCTGATGTCATTGACTTACTTGGCTTTTCTTTGAGATGTGACTTTCCATTTTCAGTGCTCTGCTCTGTATCCCAGGGCTATCTCTGCTGAGCTTCTTTCAGTGCCTTCTGGTCCCAAACTGCAGCAGTAGGAGAAAGGAAGCAGAAATTACTTAGTCCCCAAGTCTATAGTGTGTTTGGGAGATTTATTTCTGTTTTGGAATTTTTTTGCAGTGGCTACAGTAACAGCTGTAGAACAGGGTTAAAAGCCTGGCAAACAGTGCAGTTCATTCCAGTTTCCAGTGATATGCTTGTTTTCTAGGATAAATAAGAGCTTTATCAGAAGAGAGTGGATTTTATTGGTAGTCCACTTAGGGTAAAGTGCATACCAGGCTTTCCTTAATGGAAGTGAGAAATAGGGGATTGTTTTGTATCTTGTGAGAAAGACTTAAATTCTTTTTCATGGGTAGATGATATGACATCTTTATTTCCCTTTAGAGACTTCATTGACATTCTTGCTTATTTCTATTTCTGATAAATAACAGCCATTGTGAATCTCAATGACTGCTTTATCTTCCTTGATTTTCTTCTTTTCAGTTTGCTCCACTAACATTGTCTTGGATTCTCCAGCCTCCTTTCCCAAAGCTGGATCTAAATGCTGGCTGATAATATGTCTAAGTTTGTGATCATTAACTGAAGGAAGGAGGACAACTAACTTGGGATGAAGTTTCTCAAGGAATTGTGATGCTAAGTTTATAAATCTACCATTTCAGTAGTGCTTAGAATCACTTGACATCTAAATATATGTCAAGTACATTTAGCTTGATGTGTCCTTCAGAAGTTTTGAGCAGGTCGAAGAGTGTGTTCCCACTTAATAGCTTTAATTAGAAATGGAGACACCAAACTGTTTTATTTAGAAGCACTTCTGACCCTGAAAAGATATCTTTCTGTTTAGAGAAACACTGATTTTTATATATTTCATTCTCTTGGGCAGCACAGATGAATGAACCTCTTGGCATCTTCCAGCTTTGCTTGTAGCTGTTGCTGAAATGAGAAGTGATCTATTGTAAATATGAGTAAGCAGGCATATTACGTAAATTGTTAATACTAACAATTGTTAAATTAGTGGCTTTTGCAGGTGAATGTAAAAGATCTGTGCAATTTAAAATTCAATAAATATGCACCAAATATTCAAGCATGTCTGTCCTTTGTCAACTCTTCTGAGTATCTATTTAATGTACGTCAATTAAAAACAAAACATAGGAGATTAGGTTTTAGTGTGACTCCAGTAATCCTTCTGTATTTTTAGAGTGCTGTTTAGTGTAAATGAGAAGTTTCTTGTATTGAACTGTCAAAACATCTCAGTTCAATAAGCACATTTGCATGGGAGTTGGTCACTTGTCATGTCATCTTTCCTCTAGTTTGCCTGCTCAATCTGTACATATGTTGCCTTTGCTAATTTTGATTACAAGGAAGTGAAATAGTTATGTAAAGAATTTTTCTTTATCTTGCGTGTTTTTTTCTTCTGAAAATACAAAAAAATCCCTGCCTTTCACAGCTTGTCTGTGTAGTCTTTTCCATTGTGTTTCGCTGAATTTCTGTGGCACAAAAATGGTTAACAAGGACTGATACATTCACCCATTCATGTTTTGTTTCTGATCCTTTTAAAATGTGTTGCTGCTTCTAGAGGGAAGATCTTGTATCAGATAGTACCTTAAAAAGGTGAAAATGTAAGTGTTAAAATACTACTTCTTTGTGGAAAAACAGTAAAATTGCTGATGGAAGTCCTTGAAAATAATACAGGTGTGTCTGTTGGTAGTAGGTGTTTATTTTCCATAGGATTTACAATCTGTAAAGCAGGTGGTGTTGCATTTACTTTCTTATTTCAAAGTCAGGAGCAAAATTTCAGAGTTTTCATTATTAGGTAACAAGGAACTTTTTGACATAAGCTTGTTGCAATGGTAAAGCCCTTTCTTCAATTAAGTGCCACTGGACTGGGACAGTATCCACACTACTGAAATTTCCATCTCCACTGTTGTGCTTTGGTCTGCAGCATTGTGGATTTAGACACCCTCCTCCCTTGCAGAAGTGTTGCAGATCAGTGTTCAGAGTTTTCTGGGAGTTTCTGTGAGCTCTTTTCCATTGCTTTCTTCTTTGTACAAACATATTTTTGCTTTTCCCCCTTTTTTCTCTTCTTCCTTTGAATGTTTATGTAAAGCACAGCATTGAGTGCCAAGCTCTCCGAGCTGCTTGCAAGCAAACTGAAATGTCTAATCAGCAATATGTATGTGAGGTCCCAGAAGGATTATAACTGTGTCAGTGTGATGCTGCATCAGGGCTAATTAGCTCTGCCTCTCAGACTGAGTAATTAGCTCAGGTATCCTGCTCTGCTGCTATGACAACCAGGCAGTTTCCATTTCTGGAGCTCCCTGGATTTAGAGCTGACTTGGGTATCTGCATGGCTGTCAGCTCGTGCCTTCTGTTATTGATAGAAAACAAACAGAAAGCTCCTCGAGCACTCTGACCTTTCTACATTTTAAAGGCAGAGAGCCATGCTTGTGGAATTAATATTTTTTTTCCTGACCAGAAGCAATTAGTGGTTGAAACAGCCTCTTGAGCTGTGTAGGAAAACCAGCCACTGAGTTCATGGGAGAAAAGCAGCTTTCTTTTGCAGGGGAAAAGGGTCTCCCATAATTGAAGAGGAAGCTACTTGACTGCTTTCAAGTGTACAGTGAATTTATTCCCATTCCTTCTCTCCCATCCATCTGCTTCCCTCTCCTTTATTTTCTGCTGGGTAAGACAGAAACATACATTTTAAAGCAGGTTTTCAGAAGTGGTCTTTGATGAGCAAATATTCCAGCTGTCACCTGCTGGCCTGGATTTCTGGTGCTGTTTAAGGCTCGGTTTTTCTTGGTTGTGAGTAAACAGAGATTTGTCTATGACTCTTTCCCCAGGGGCTTAAAGCCAAACCCCTTTGTGGAACTTTTCCTGGGAATCAAACACTTGGGGTTCCACATTCTCTTCCCACCTTCCTTGAGTGCCTGGTTGTTCCTCATCTATTGTAGATCTTCTGTCAAATTCTGATTGAATGGTGCAAACTGAGCCAATAAGTGCAGGAGTTCTGAGTTACCTTGATAATTTTGGTTTTTATTAATGTTCTAATTAATGAGCTTAATTAAGGGCAAACTAATAGATATCTGCTTTGCCAAAGGAAACTGAAGGCTAAAGCCAGGAAAAAGTAGCATAGAGTGGCCATTATATGGTCTGTCAAAAGCAGTGAGCAAGTGCTTGCTTTGCTGTTGGAAAGAATTCCAGAAAGCAAGTTAGCCAGGAAATAGTGTTATTTACTTTTATTAATAATATTTTAATAGGGGTTGTAACATGGTAACTAGAGAAATGGTCAAAAAAAATTAGTTGTCCATGGTTCCGTTTTGTGATTGATGGAATCGTTGTTCTGTACAGGATGTTACGGACCACAAAGAAAACAACTTCGTTAAATCTAATTCCCTGCATATGA